AAACGCGCCGAAATTCAAATTTCACAAAATTTCGACCCGCGATCGATCGTCCCAAAAGGTTTAATTGAGCATTCGACAAGTAACAATGCAGGCAATGCGAATTGCGGCGATCAGACATATCGACTCTCCGAATTGCGAAGTTTGTGCGTGCGGGAGTGCGGATTGTGCAAAAGGCCACTCTAAGGCTCAGGAAGGTCCTATAGGGAATCCCTTTTGGGTTTCCTCATGTTGGCTTCGTCCTTCTAAGTGCTAGAAGTTTATACCACACACGCGAAACTCCAGAAGGGGACGAAAGCGGGTCGAACTAAACGAGGCGGGTCCCACTTCTAAGGTTCTAAGATAGTCGCAGGAAGACCCCTAAGGCTAGATCCTAACTCCTACGAGGAATACTAGACCTCACGAAAATTGAGGTCAACACCGACCGGTGGGTGATTTGTTGGAGGTATTTATATGATTTTAGTAGTATGTAAAAAATATATATAAATATGCAATAATTGAGTGGTATATATGCAAATCTTCCCTGTTTTAGGGCGGTCGACTGGCGCAGAGTTGCGCGCTCAGCAATGCGATCAGAGAAGTGCTGTGGTCAATAAACAAAGTAGACTGGATTTAATTTGGATTTTACCAGACACTCATTCTTAGACAACCTAAAACTCCAGACTTCTAAATGTTGTACTGGTATTCCATGCCAGCAAGGAAGATGTTTGAATTTACCTTCCTCCACTGTTTCAGTTAAGAGTGGAAATGCCGGAGGTAGGTTAATGGGAAGATAAGTTGAGAAAATTATATATTTATATATATATATATATATATATATATAGTGTGAAGGGTATATATGTATATCTATATATAAATTGAGGTATATGAATGGAGTGCTAAGTATGTATATCTCCCTTGATCAGTTGGTCGGCAGAATGGAGTCCGATTGTCGCAATGTAGTTTGGTTGGCCGCATGTAGTCCGGTTGACAGGATGAAGTGCAATTTGCGAAATTCGGCCAACGGGTGTAAGAATCTCACTTGCGGCAAAAGAGAGATGTGATAATGAATTTTGCTATTAGAGAATAATAGTGGAGTGGAGTGAGTAAAGAAATAAGAGAGAGAAAGAGAGAGAGAGAGAGAGAGAGAGAGCTTGAGGAGAGGAAGTGAAGGACTCATTTGGTGGTGGAAGTGGAGAGAAAGCTTGCAGCTTGAGAGACGATGAGGAGTGAAAGTACGGGCTAGGTTGCCTGGGAAGAAGAGGCATGGAGAGTTTGAGGAGGCTTGGTAAGTTTGTTGAGAGAAGAGTTTCATGGTTGCTATGAGGTGACATGAGATGGATGCTTGAGAGGCGATGGGAGTATGGGTTGCCTCTGTTTCCACTAGATCTATGGAGATCTATGGAGAAATATGGAGAAAGAGATGGACTATCTAAGAGATCGCCGATGATGATGAGTAAAGGAAGTGGATCTGCTTTTGTGCAAGTTTCCTTTGTGTGTTCTTTGCTAGGAGTTTGTCTGTGAAGAGATTCCTCTTGGTGTTAGCTCGTATTTTTGGTCACAGCACGATCCACGCTCACCGCACCTTAAAGGATGTTGAATTCGAATATGTCCGGTAGATCGTGCCTAAGGAATAGAGCGTGAAAGAAAGAGAGAGGGAGAGAGAGAGGAAAGGAGAACTTCCTCCGATGGGGGAAATGGGGTGTTCTCAGGCTCTTGGACCCATTTTATTTCATCAAAGATATATGTTACAATTGTGATCTCTTCCTAAAAGGGTTCATTTAACTTCATGAAACCCTCATATTTATATAAGATAGGAAGGGTAAAAAGTATGCAAAAATTAGATATTTGGCCATGCTTTGAATAGAGAAGCAAAAGAAATTTTAGTTATTTTTATTTCGACTATTGGATTGTCTTGAGATCAATGCAGACTTTCATGTCCATGTTTGTTGGCCGCTGAAGTGAGGCTGTCGAGGGAGAGAGTTTGGACGGTCGATTGAAGTGAGGTGGCCGACTACTGGATGACCTCAGAGATCTGTGCAGACCATTTTTGAATATGTACCATCATAGAAAACATCAAATAAAATACAAGCATGATTGGATAAAATTTATTAGAAGATACACAAACTATATTATATAGCATATAAAGTTTCCCATCGAACCTTTTTATCTATGAAATTTTTCTTGTGTTAGTAATTCTTACAATATCAGAATAAAAAGATTTTTCGATTTAATTATGTAGATGATGTGCAGAAACATTAATTTTCTCCTAAACCTAAGTTTTTCATTCATATGCATACCATTATTTTCTAATTGATTTAACATTTTCTTGCTTGACCTTTACAGGATGTGTATAAAAGCGTTCGTTCAACAATTACTGGGGTTATTCAAGGCCTAAATGCAACTGTTTTTGCATATGGTTCGACTGGAAGGTACCCTTATTTACCCTGTTTTATAGCTGTGGAAGACTGAAAATGGAGATATGGCCATTTTTATTCATGTCCCTGTTAATTTATGCTCTTAATAAACTAATGCCGTTGTCAGATCACAGTTGAAAGCTACCATCCAAACAATGAGGATAATTGAACATGGGATTGGATATGTAAGTAATTGGGATAGGAGATTTGGGTGCAAAACCCAAATCCGAATTTTCAGCCAATTATGTTTTTTAATGTCAAAAAACAACTTGGGTAAAACGTTGAATGAAAATTGATGGCTAGGTTTCCTCCATTCTCGCATGGATACCACATGTTTGAATTACAAAAGTTTCCTTTCTGCGATGCAGCAGTAAGGTTATGTAAATCAGCTTAAACTTTGTATGAATGGGAGTCTCATGCATCGGCTTTACCCATTAGTGATGCCAAGTCTGAGTTCGGAGAAATCTTAATCTTTACATGTATTTTGTTGTAAGCCTTTTATAGCCCTTAACGTATTAAGTTAATTGTCTTCTACACCCCATTCCTATTGATATGAGAGATCTTAGGCCTAGAGCTGGAAACGAATTTGAGAAAATTGAGTGGTAAGTGTGAAAATTCTTCAACTTAATATTTAAAGCAAGTCTTTATGCTGATTATGAATTCACTAAATGAATAAGACTAAAATATCTTATCAATCAATTATGATGATCAAGAGTATAATAACTGTTAAAAAAAAAAAAAATAACTAAAATAAAATTTTCTGATCGATGGTATGTTCGAACAATCATCTCGATGTTTCTTTTTAAGAGATGGACATCTCTTTTCAAACCAAAATAATCCAGACAGAGCATGAGGGGGAGGAAGGACGAGTGTTTTGAAACCCGGGTGCTTACGTGCATCTAGGGCAAGGAAGATGATGTCGAGGGCATGCGGTGCAACATTGCTGTGTGTGAGTGAAAAAAGATGTCGAAGCCAAAAGAGGAAGCACTATGTGGCTTTGTGTGCAGGAGACATGCACATCTTCTGGGGCGAAGAAGAAAAGGAGGCGAAGGCTTGTGCGTAGGAGAATAGATACAAAATAAGGGGTTATTTGGTTTGCTGAAAATATAGTGCAATGGAAAAGGTTTACAGAGTACTAGAATTACAGTGTACTCTGAATACTTTGAAGTTGTTTCGTTGTTTCTAATGTAAATGCTTGAGAACTCTTTTTTATGTTTGCTTAGATGAATGCAAAGTAAAATAAGTGAATTTTGAATACTTTTGAGCTGGTTGATTGGTAACTAAAATGTAGACAAATTAACTAGCTATATATGATATAATTTTTGGGGTCATTTGGTTGAGTGAATTAGTGTTATATTGTAAATTTTTTGCAGGGATTAGAGAAAATTTTGTGTTTGGCATGAAAATTTACAAATACAATATAACGTTTTAAAGAATTTGAAGTTTACACCATAGTCAATTTTGATTGAATTTAGAATTCGTCCAATTTGACCGAATTTGAATTACATAATTCATGTAATATGTTATAGGCAATTCGGCGGCCGCCGCCGGTTCCCCTATTTGCCGCCTGCCGTCGATGCCTGCCATCGCTCGCCTCTAGCTGGCATCACTCGGCCGCCACCCGCTTCTCACCGCCCTCTACCTGCTTCCTTTTTTCCAAGTAAATACATTGTTTTCAATTTACTTCAAACAAAAGAAAAAATATAAAATCCTAAGTTTATTTTGTAGTGAACCAAATAATTTAAAAGTATTTCATATACATTATAATTATAGTACTTTTTAAATCTTTTACATTGCATTTTATTTTTAGCAAACCAAACGACCCCTTTATAAGCTTATATATTTAATTTTTAATAATAATATTATAATTTATATATAATTATGTATTTTTAAATGAATTAATTTTAATAATAATTTTAGTATAATTTAGATATCAAAATATTTTATTAGATAAAGATTTAAATAATGAATATACATAAAATTTTCAATGTTAAAATATGATTTAACTTAATCTATTCAAGATAATTTTTATTTTAGAACATGTTAAACATAGGTAAAAATTGTATACAAACAAAAAAATTGAGATATTTTTCAATCTTCTTCCCTACTAGGTCATTCATCAGCTGAAGTCTTCCGTTCCTTTCTTCCTCTCTCCGAGGAGTCTACATGTCCCTGCCTTCTCTTTCTCGTCCTTCTCTCCTTCATCTCATACTTATCTCCTATTGTCATGTAGAGTCCAAGAAGGTTTTCTCATGGCTTTAAAGCATGCAGTGGAGAATTTCTCCATGTCGCTTGAGGAGGAAGTCCTAAGATGTGGATCGATGAAGTAGACGAGAGTTAGACTGAAAAACATGATGGAATTCTGCTCGAGGTCCAAAGAGAAGAATATGTTAATTTCGTGTTTGGGGTTTTGGCTTGCTAGTTTGGAAGACAAAGAATTTACCTTGGAAAGAGACTGAGAGGCTTCTTTTAGACGTTTGCGGTCGATCCACAAAATGGGGACGTTTTTTCTACAAGGTTGATGGCGGTTTGGGGAGGTGGGTCGGTCCACAAAATGAAGGAAAGACCGTGAATGTTAGGGTTTATTATTTTTATTTGAAATTATTTTTTAATTAATTTTTTTGTTTTAATATTGATGATGTGAATTAATCCATTTGAAAGCATTTGATTCAATAAAAAATTTGGATCATTAGTTTGCAAAGAGAAGAAAAAATGAATTAAGGTAAGCTTAGGATTTTATCAATTATTATAAGAATTAAATGCTTAAATTAATCTGTATTTTAAAAATGTTTTAGGATCTTGACTGAATAACAATAATAGACTGGGAAGGGATCAATGAAGTGATTAAGTGGAAGAATAAGCATATAAGGAGATCTTTAGAAGATTAAGATGAGTAGTTATCGTTCTGCGTGCATTAAATTTTTTCCTTTTATTGTAAAGTATTTCAATTGTTTGCACACATTGAAAATTTGAAGTCTTTATAAAATTGAAAGGAAGAAATTATATGATTATCTATTATCTTAAATTATCTCATATTTTCATGTATAAAAAAATGGGTTAAATAACTAATGGAATTAAAACCTTTTAAATGAAACAAATGAATATTTGAGTTATTCATGAGTCACTACTTTATGGTACTAGCTGGAAACGTTATTATACTCGTGTATGTAAATGAAATGGAAATTAAAATGAAGATGAAAAATGATTGTATCTTTATTAATATAAATTTTTTACGGTATTTCTGAGTTGAATTTTAGAGGAAAAAAGAAATGAAAATGATAATTGACCAAACAACTTTAATAAATACTTTTTTAAAATGAAAAACATAGATCTTGCCTATAGACTACTCAATGCATTTCTGTGAGCATTCATGTTTAAACATTTGCATAATGATTTAGTACGTAATAAAATGTATATAATAAGTATTTTAGCATTCCTAGTTACTTTAATCTTAATGTGTTATTTAAATTTTTTTTCTTTGAAAATTTTTTGTTAAGAGTAATTTGACTAAAAGAAGTGAGTTTGTTTACATGAGGAGAAGAACTTTTGGAAATAAATTGTAAACTGTTTGATTTTTATATTTATTCACTTTTATTTGTATCATTGTTTCAATCTGGACGATCTGATATATCATGTTAGATGATGTTTACTATCTTTTGTGGATTTGTATCTTTTATATAACTGGATATTATTGTGAACCATTGTTACTGTTAGTATTGTTTACTTTTACGGTTAACCGTTTGTTTTCACCTTGGTTATGACCAAGCTCTCGGACCATGGCGTGACAAAGATGTTACCGAACTATTAGGAATTAATTTTTGTATTATTGTTGCGATTGTAAAAACCTTCAATCTATCCAACACTTTTTTAATTAAATTTGAATCTAGAAGCACTTTAATGGAAGAAGAATTGGCTTCTTTTGGCTATGTGAGGAATCTCTTGGCCCTCCTCTTCCAACTTCAATGGTGACATTGGGATTTTGGATCAAGGAAGAGTTCTGGAACTATCCTTTTAGAATGAAGTTCCTTTTCTTCTCTTATTTCAGGAATTTGACGGTTATAATTTGCAATGAAACATTTATGAGATTGGCTACTATCTGCAGTGGATGAAATTCCAAGTGAAAGTCATGCAAAACAAGCAGACATTGAATGTTTTGCCATGATTAAAGGGTAACAAGGGTTGAAAACGTTCATCTAAACATTTTTCCTACAATATGGAGAGGTGCGACTTATAGCCAACGAGTATGTGGAGATCACACTAAAACAAGGACATTCATTGTCGATAAAAACACCCCACAACTTGGTTTCTCGCTATTATCTGCCCCTGCCCAAAGAGGTTGCATGAAATTTGGGCCATCTTGACAAAGCAAGGCCCTTCTTTAAGTATTTAGCGACTAAATCTTGTGGCCAAAAAATCATGCCAAGGTTCTTGCATAAGCACAATAGGAGCGACAACATGTGCTTGTAAAGGATTCATTGAATCAGAGCACTTAGAAGTAGAAGGATTTTAGTGGGTTAAGTGTGATGATCATAAGGATCTTTATTATTATCTTGTGTTTTTTTGATGCATAATTGCTGATGATTGATGATATTAAAAAAGATTTTACAATGATATGAGAAAGATTTATTCTTTTGATAATTTCTATTTTTATGGTTTCGCTCTTAGCTTCACTGGCCTAATTTTCATTAACATACAACTTGATTGAGCACAATTATGTTGGGCGAAACGGTCTATATTAGCTTAATAAGGGCTTATCATATGGAGAATGTGGTTTTGGTAAAGGGAGAAGTAGAGAGGAGGTAACATCAGGGTAATAACACATAATAGTTTTTAGTGAGGTGACCCTACTTTTCTATCTATCAATTGGAACTTTGTTGTTTAAGGGTCATTAAGGAAAGAATCAATGTGGGTAATTGTGCAAGTTGAGTATTACTAGATTAAGTTTGCTTACAAGTGTCATTAATAACTATTTGGGATGGTTGAGCACTTTTATTGGAGGGGTTAGGATGTTTGACAATTATGATAACTTAAACAAAATTAAGGCCATTGATGTGCGACGTAGCATATAAATTTTAATCTTGGCCTTTAATGGTATAGTGACACTTTAACTTTGATGTTGCATTTTTTTTATCTCACATAGCTAGTGTGAGGGCACTACACAAATGCACATAATGATAAATTTGATGTGCACAACCCACCTTGCGGTGGGCCAGATCATCATAAGGTCTTAAAACCCATTGTCTAAAGAGTTTGATATTTTAAATAACAAGGAGATGATGTGACCCATTTTCAAATCTTAAATCCTAGATCTAAGGCCCAGTATATGACAAGGTATTCATGGAGTGGAGGGATAACTGACTTTAAGTTCATAGTTGTTAGTCCTAAGGCTCAAGATGTACATTACTAAGGAATTAGTTCAAATCTTCTCTAAACTCTTAAAGTTCTAAATCTATTGACTTATTGATTCTACGAGGCTTTGAAGATGGGCATAATTGACCATGGTATTATAAATTCAGAGGTTCTAATGATGCGAGCGTTCCATGTTGACGAGGAATCGTACATCATATCACTTATGGAGAGGCTGGAATCTAATATGGATCATCAAGCAACGAGGAGCCAACAAAGTCCACCAAAGGAAAATCAAGGGCTAAAGTATGGCTATTTAAGATTATCCTCGCTAATCATGGGTCAAACTAAGCATCCACACTGAGAGACTGACACAGATTGGTCATGATAGTTTATTAAAACGCCTAAAGGGCCAATATGGATCAACTACAAAGCCTATGGTCCCAAAGTATGGCCCACAACCCAAATAAATCATGTAATCCAATGGGAAGGGTCACTTAGAAAATTGAACCTATATACATGTAGTCCAATGGGAACGGTCACTTAGAAAATTGAACTTGCTTAAAATGGTATTGGTTAGGGTAAATGGGCTTAGTGAACTGCCTATGATCTAATGTGTCAAATAGGCCAAATTCTAGCCATAGGATAGCATTGAACCAAATTTAGGGTAGCTAGACCCATTAGGTCACCATTTAAGGCTAGGACAGTTTGAAGGACAATGGGACAGCTCTAAAGACATTTGGAAAAGCTTAGGGGGAGTTTTATATAATTTGTGATTTTTTAATTAATTTTAATTAATAAAGAAAACTATAAAATATAGCTTTAAACTCATATTAGGGATGGTCTATGATCTATTGGGTTTGAAACTTAAACCCCAAGGCCCTTTGACCCTAAGGAACATATGTCACGAGCTTTCAAAACTTCAGCTCATAGATCTAGGAGAAATTAATATTTTTAAACTAAAAGAAATTAATAAAATTGAGGCATGAAAATATTGTTTTATTTATGCTTTCTGGGTTCTAATTAATTTAATAAAATTTAGATAACTAGTTTATGTGATTTGGTTGAGGATTTAAAATACTATACACAGATCAAATATTGTAGCCTGGATTAATGCAACCATTTGATTTATCACAGGCTACTTTGATATCCTATCTTTGAAATCTGAGGAGTCATTGCGGAATAAATTTTAATTAAATTCATTATAGGCTTGAAGTGAACTTTAGGAATTGATGAGCGCAACTCTATTTAGGTAATTTCCAATTCCTATGGTGGCACCCAATCACAATTGTTGCAGCTGTAAATCATTAGCTGCTGTTGTTATCACCTAGTGTCCCCCTTTGTTGTTAACACCTACCCCCAGTGCCACTGCACAGCCCATCGCCGCACCATTGGAGCTGTATAGCTTTGCTCGCTGCCTGCCATTGCCCATGCCAGCTGTCATCTACGTTTTAATGCATTTTAAATAAATTAATTTAACATAATATTGGGGCATTTAGATAATGTATTTACGTATCTCACACCTAAACTTTCATGTTTACTCACATAACACTCAAATCTTTAATTTCACATAAAAAATAGCACTATTCCTTCTTTTTAAAAGTTAAATCCACCTTTTCATGCGTAGGTTTAAAGCACCAGAGTGCTATGTATGTTTTATATGTGAGATAATTAAATACATAATAATTGTGTTGTAGGTATGCAAATTGACCAAAAATGTTTTAGTACAATTAACTTAGATCCAATCAAACAATTCTTTTATTTATAAAATGTATATATTTTTACTCTGCATTTTTAAAATACATGTATTTTGAAAGCATCCCACTAATCAACACTTAAATTATTAAATCAATTTGCATGCTTCAGGTTGTATTTGGATCTATTGACTGAGAATTTTTGGGGGTAAAGCAGGATTTTTCTGTGCAGAACAACATATTAATATAGTTGATATTTTAACTAAATTTGAAACCAATTTTTAGTGTGATTCTCTTCAGAATATGGAGCTTATTGCTTCAAAATTTATTCATAATATTAACTTGGCTCTTAATTGTTTGAATTCCATTTTCTCTTATTAGTTTGAGTCTTTTGTTCCTTTTTAATCTTTTGGATAACTTTTAAATTGCTTGAAGTACTTCTTAAAGCTAATTTAGGTTAGATGCTATGACTATGAGTTGAACATTTAGTTCTGCTTAAAGTGAGCCCTTTATTTTTATCCCATTTTGACATATTTTGTTCTACAAATTCACTAGTGGGAAAACATATACCATGGCTGGGACTCAAAATGATCCAGGACTCATGGTTCTAAGCCTAAATACTATTTTTGAACTAATCAAGACTGACAAGAGCTCAGACAACTTTGAAGTCTCTTGCTCTTACCTTGAAGTTTATAATGAGGTATGGATTTCATTTCGATGTAATTACTGGTATTCTTCTGTCCTTAGACTCCTAATTAAGTTTTTAATTGCATTTTATCATCCTTATCCCATATCATAAGGCTGCAATATTGATAAAATTATCATCTTTTTTGTCGCATTCTAGGTCATTTATGATTTGCTTGAAAAATCATCTGGGTACCTTGAGCTCAGAGAAGACCCTGAGCATGGCATTGTTGTTGCAGGTTTAAGAAGTATTAAGGTTATTGAATATCTGATTATGATGCTCCTTTGTTTTATACTAATTTTAGCTTTGTTGGATCTTATTGGAAATCAATTTCTTATGAATTTTATTGATCCGTTACTCGACTGCTCTTGGTTTCACTGCATCCCCAACTCTATTCAAATTTATTTTTTTTCCGTTGTTTGGATTGCATTGTTCAGATGGTAGTACGTCAATAGGGAAGAATTCTCATAGAGCTTTTTAGTTGATTGTATTTCTATGTTCAAGAATAATCAAAACTTAGAAGTTATGGACTGCAGTTAAATTTAATGAATGGCTGATGTGGATTGCAATATTTAAATATCCAACTATTATCTTTTCTTGAGCTAATTTTTCATTGCCAGTTTGTTAAACATAACGCAAGTTTCAAAGATATGAAGAGTTTCTAGGGTTCGTGCCAACCAATCAAAGAGGATAACATGTTAGATGGTAGTTGATACGTTGTGTGTCTCAGCCTATATTTGGACAACCAAGCCAAAATTAAAGCTATGATGGGTTGATCAAATCCTATAGAGTTTTTTCCATTGGTCAATATTATAAAAATTAGGATGCGGCATATCATTGACATAATGCTATCTTTTTTATAAATTATTAATATAAAATGTATAATGAGAAGATCTAATAGTACTTTTCATTAACACATCATACAATGAAATATAATATCATCCTAAATTATATCAAAATTAATTCAAATATAGTTATTGTACAATAAAAAAAAACTTAAGATTAGTAGATTACTAATGAATTATTCAAATATAGTTATTGTACAATAAAAAAAAAAAACTTAAGATTAGTAGATTACTAATGAATAAAATCTTAAATCCTTATTATTATAATGCAATGTCAATATAAATGTTTTGGAGTGTATCTAAAAGATTAGAATACAATCTTATTAATTTATTTTCTATTTTAACAAGAAAAACTAAATAAAAATCATGAGAATCTATATATATAGTGTAAATAATGGTTAGAGGAGAAAAATTATAGTCATTAGCATTTTGCCATAATGCATGAGTAGAGGAGATATAAAAATAGCTAGATGTTTAGTCGAGAAAGAAAAAAGCTCAATGTCCATCACATTCGATGGGAACAACGTCATGAAAAAATTTTCATTAAGTGGGTGAGAGATGGGATGCTGCAAACATTGGCTGAAACTCGAGCCAAAATTATGACTTGTGAATGCCAAGTACAAATTGAATAAGAGATCAAATGTTTGAAGGAATCGAGCAGGAAGAGTTCTAGGACTACAAAGATCAAATCCTTGAGGAAAAGTGAGTGCGTGGTTGTGATGGTTTATAGAATCAAGTGGTCATATTACTTGAGTTGTGGTTTATAAATGTCAAACACGAACACATACAAGATTGCTGAACCTAAAAGCCTTAAAAAGTCTTTTATGTGCCTCCATGTGTGACGAATATCTCGGGATGTTTATGTCCCATGTCTGGCTCTCATATGGCTTGAAACATGTTTAACATAATTTTAAGAATATTAAACACGTGTTATGATGTGTCAAAGGTGTTTTCACATCTGACACGTGCAACAAGAACACAAATAGTATTTTGAAATGTCAATGCTTTGTATTTAATTCCACTGGCTCATTTTGTCCAAGTGATGGAACAGATAATCTGACCACCGGTTGGAGTTATCTTGAGGCCTTGGATGGGTAGAAAGGTTTAACCGTAGAGAGATTGAGTTAATTGGCATTTTTTTTTTTAAGAGAAACTAATAAAAGAGCATAAAGTGATGAAATTTGGCAATCTATTAATAAGTGTTGCCACAACTAGAATTCTATACAATGGAGTTCAAGATACAAATTTTTACAAAACAAGGCCCGCTAATTGAATACAAAAAAACAAGTCTAGTAGGCCTAGTCAGCTCCCACTCACTTTCACTCTTGCCTTCGAAGCCCAACGTCAACCCATTTCCTAGAGGTAAAACAATAACAAAAGTTAAGGAAAAGTTAGTGGAAATAGATAAACAAAAATTGGTACTTTCATCAGCAATGCTATTAGGATGACCAGGGTAGGTTCGAGCAATTATCAAAGTCAACTCAAATTATCTAGTTAATCTTGTTGGCTGGTCAGAAAACTTCTCAACCTCAAGGAGAGTGAGTCATTGTCCATGCAGATTAACATTACCATTTGTAAGCTTATTCATCATGTACACAAGTTATTATTTCCATTGTTTACTTCATCGGATGATTGAAATCACATTGCATCCATTAATGTCAATTTTCACATCATTTTCATTATCCCTAAGGTGACTATGAACCTCCTAGTTCCGCTTTAATAAGTTATCTTACTTAATATTCTCATTCCATTTATACATATGTGAGAATCACATAGCTGATACACATGAAAAATCTACTAAAGATGGGTTTAATGTCCCCCTCCTAAAGTATATGCAAATTGTCGAGGCTAACTGGCTTTTGAAATACTTGGTTGCTGTAGATCTCCTCTCCTAGCTCTGTTAAAGTTTCTGCTCAGTCCATTCTTCTTTCTTCTCTCACTCATGTAATGAAACATTATCATTTGGTCACTACGTCATATGGTTTCATATGGAGGGATATGCAAGAAATTAGGGGTTGTTTATTCATCCCTTTGGTATCTGATTGATTCATTAGATTGTGGAGGCATTATCTTCGTGATTAGGACATGTGTCAACATTGACTATGTTGTTTCTCTGACAAAAACAGTTGTTAAGAGGAGACTACTAACAATTTAGTATAAGCTATTGAAAAGTAAGTCACTGGCAACATCAATTGGCTTGATTTGGTAGACTAAATTCAACCTGAACTGATTAATCAAGCGCTTAACCTCATCCCCTGACAACTAAGGTTGAGAATTTAGCTCAAAGATTATCAGTGGCTCAAAAATTTGAGTTTGGATCGAAGTAAGCAAGCCAAGTCATAAGTTGAAATCATTGATCAAAATTTCAAGCCTATTTTGAGCCATACATGAATTGGCTCAAGATTGGCTTGAAGTTTTTTTTTAACATAGTGGTAGGATTTTGGGTTTTTTAAAATTTATTTGTATTTGTTAATTTTAAGCTGATTCAATCAAAACATGTCAGCTCGTTTGCGAGAATGGATCCAAATAGCTCCATTCGTGCTACCTCTTTTTATTTCGAGCTTGATCTAGGTCGTTTTAATTTCAAACAAAGCTTGTTCAAAATCAAATACAAGGAGCCATAAGCCAATTTTGAGCTATTGCAAGCCCCTAGCTCGGTTCAAAATTGGATCATTCATCGCCCTACCTGCAACTCCCAAAGGAGTCCTTTTGAATGGATCTCCATCCTCTTGACTAAGTTTCTCATTACCCAAATGGGTTTAAATGAACTCAATCACCCTTCCCCTTGGGTTAACCAATCATGTTATTTGGTCAAACTCAATCGATATTGAGTTTGCTAAGGGTTCGGTTTATTGGCCCCAATTTGATTGGTCTCAAGGAGTTTTTAAGTACATAGGATTTTAAGCTTGCAACTCTTAATGATTTTTTTTGAATTAATTTTTTTTAATCTTTTTTCAGTAATGTTTTTATAAAATATGAAATATCAAAACCTCAATAAACCGATTCAGTCATGCTTCAGCTCCTATAGGCTGGCTTTGGGTCCAGTGATTTTCTGAAAGAATTATATAAATTAATCGATTTCATAGCAATAAATTCCATAGATTGCTTTAAAATAAAAATTCAAATTAGCTTTGAAAGGGTTCTATTCCTTTGATACCTCTATTATGTAACATTTAGCTATTTGTTTTAATTGAACTCCCTGACGTTATGACATCATTCTGCATATTAATTTTCATGGATACTTTATCTAAGCATATATTGCATGCTTATGCCATAGATAACGAACTTAATCTAAACAGGATTACATGCTTTACATTTTCATTATTTATTCTGTTAGGATGCTCTCATTTCAAATTTACTCTTATTGTCACTTATTATATTGTTCAATTTCCTCAGGTCCAATCAGCTGATAGAATTCTTGAACTTTTAAATCTTGGAAACAGTAGGCGTAAGACAGAAAGCACAGAGGCCAATCAAACTTCATCTCGGTAAGCCATAGAATTGTAGCTTATATTTTGTTCCTGCCTTTCAAAATTCTAATCATTTATTGGGGCTTTGCACCCGATCCATCAGATGAAAAATTAGACTTATATAATGCAGCACAAAAGTCTATTAAAGCCCTTTGTTTCTTTTTCCTAAGGGCTTGTTTTGTTTTTTGTTTTTTGTTTATATTTTTATTTTTTCTTATTTTTAAAATATATTTGTTTAATATATTTTTTTACATATTTTTATTTTTTTGTTTCTAAAAATAAATTAACATATATTTGAAAACACTGAAAAAAAACTCATGTTTGGAGTGTTTTTAAAAATAGTCATATTATAATCAAATATATTTTATTTCAAATCAAAGCATAAGTAAAAAAAATAAAAATAAAAAATAAAAATGATCCCAAATGGCCTGCAAGATATCATAGAAACAAGGTTTCCACAATAACATTATTCAGGAAGTAAAATAAAAATTAAAAAAAAAAATAAACCCCAAATGACCCCCAAAATGTGAATTTTATCGTGCTTTCTTTACGCTTTCGTTTTATTTTCTGCAGGATTTTAGCCCATTTCTAATTTTGTTGTTGACTTTCTAGCTTACAACATATGTTTGGCTTCCCTAGTTTAAGTAGAAAGATTTACATGCATACCACGCAATTCTTAGGTCTTTAGCTAAATTTTCATATTTACATTTATAACACCCAACACTTTAATACTTCAAAAATATCACAATTATTAATTTTTAAAGTGAAATACACATTTTTCATGCTTAAATTTATGACACGAGAGTATTATAAATGTAAATATGAAATTTTGTGTCCGATATCTAAAGACATGAATTGTGTTGTATGTGTGTAAAATTTCCTAAAATGGTACACAAGTTTAAACAAACTCTTTTTGTTACCAACTGATATCAACAGTTCACATGCTGTACTGGAGATCACTGTGAAAAGAAAACAGAAAAATCAACACCGCAGTCAGATTCTGCGTGGAAAGCTTGCACTCGTAGATCTGGCTGGAAGGTCGCATGTTCTACTTGGCACACTTTCTCTGTAAATTCAACTTTTACCCTTTTGTTTTGAAGTTGTGTTGCCATTCATTGTTCAGCGAAAGAGCTTCTGAAACGAATAGTGGAGGCCAGAAACTTAGAGATGGATCAAATATTAATCGCTCACTTCTTGCTTTGGCGAACTGCATCAATGCCTTAGGAAAACACCAAAAGAAGGGTCTCGCATATGTTCCTTATCGAAATAGGTAACCAGCATGTTTTACCACACAAGATAAAGATTTTTTTTAGGGGCTTTTACAGAAATACCACCCAATTCCTATGTATTTACATTGTAACCCCTAAGCTTTATTGTTTACATTTATACCTCCCGAACCTTTTATATCACATCATAAATACCACTATTTTAACTTTTAAAAAATAAAATACAATTTTTTATGTGTAGATAGTGACATATATGTAAAAATTGACGTTTAGATGTTATATATTTAAATACATAGGAATTGAGTTGTATGTATGTAAATCACCCGCTTTTATTGTGCTTTCTTTACGCTTTCGTTTTATTTTCTTCAGGATTTTAGCCCATTTCTAATTTCGTTGTTGACTTTCTAGCTTACAACATATGTATGGCTTCCCTAGTTTAAGTAGAAAGATTTACATGCATACCACACAATTCGTATTTAGCTAAATTTTCATATTTACATTTATAACACCCAACACTTTAATACTTCAAAAATATCACAATTATTAATTTTTAAAGTGAAATACACATTTTTCATGCTTAAATTTATGACACGAGAGTATTATAAATGTAAATATGAAATTTTGTGTCCGATATCTAAAGACATGAATTGTGTTGTATGTGTGTAAAATTTCCTAAAATGGTACACAAGTTTAAACAAACTCTTTTTGTTACCAACTGATATCAACAGTTCACATGCTGTACTGGAGATCACTGTGAAAAGAAAACAGAAAAATCAACACCGCAGTCAGATTCTGCGTGGAAAGCTTGCACTCGTAGATCTGGCTGGAAGGTCGCATGTTCTACTTGGCACACTTTCTCTGTAAATTCAACTTTTACCCTTTTGTTTTGAAGTTGTGTTGCCATTCATTGTTCAGCGAAAGAGCTTCTGAAACGAATAGTGGAGGCCAGAAACTTAGAGATGGATCAAATATTAATCGCTCACTTCTTGCTTTGGCGAACTGCATCAATGCCTTAGGAAAACACCAAAAGAAGGGTCTCGCATATGTTCCTTATCGAAATAGGTAATCAGCATGTTTTACCATACAAGATAAAGATTTTTTTAGGGGTTTTTACAGAATTACCACCCAATTCCTATATATTTACATTGTAACCCCTAAGCTTTATTGTTTACATTTATACCTCCCGAACCTTTTATATCACACCATAAATACCACTATTTTAACTTTTAAAAAGTAAAATACAATTTTTTATGTGTAGATAGTGACATATATGTGAAAATTGAAGTTTAGATGTTATATATGTATATACATAGGAATTGAGGTGTATGTATGTAAATCTCCCTATTTTTATAGGTGTCTTATACGATAGTGCTCTGCAGCAAGCTGACTCGGATATTGAAGGATGGTCTTAGCGGCAACTCACAAACTGTTATGATTGCTACCATTTCACCTGCTGATGATCAGTATCATCATACAGTCAATACCCTGAAATATGCTGACCGCGCCAAGGAAATCAAGACACATGTACATGTAAGAGTAGTCCTTTTGCTATTCACTTTTTTTTGGGGTACACAATTCTTATATATTTAAACATCTCATACCTAAATTTTCATATTTACACATATAGCACTCAAATCTTTAATATCACATAAAAAATAACACTATTGTCACTTTTTAAAAATGAAATGCACATTTTCATGCATAAGCTTTAAATACCAAAATGTTGTGTGTATAAATATGAAAGTTTGGGCATGAGATATGTAAATAAATAAGAATTGTGTGCTAGGTATGTAAATTTTCCTTTTTTGGGGGATTTTTGAGCTATGTGCACTCATTCATAGATGATTATTTAGTTGAGAATTATAAAGTCATCATTTTCAGTTATTGATAATGATTTCCTTGAACCATCCTAATCTGAGAAAAAAAGGAGAAATAATAAAAGGCATAGTATATATGCTAAATAATCTAACAAACCTAAGCTACATATTCTTACAAATAAAGCATCAACTTATAAGATTGTAATGAAATAGCTTAATATTTTTGTTGCACCTGCGTATAAAAAAATTATTCTAACATTTGAGGCACCAAATTGAAGTTGTGATTTCTAAGATTAATTTTTGTTTTTCTTTCTTTCAGAAAAATATTGGGATTATCGACACTCACGTCGCAGATTACCAAAAAATGATAGACAGTCTCCAGGTAATGGTATTTTTATGAAGAAGCATGCGCATGTTCAAATTATTGATAAGAATTTTTCTGAATTGATGACTATAGGTGGAAGTTTGTCGTTTAAGAAAAGAACTGGCTGAGAAGGAGTCTCTAAATGTAAAACCTGTTGAGAAAACTTCAAATGATGAGATTTCTTGGCTGAATGCTCTAAGCCAGGAAACTGGTGAAAATGTCCAGGAACGCATTAATCTACAGAAGGCATTGTTTGAGCTTGAGGAAACAAACCTTCGAAACCGCACTGAACTGCAACATCTAGATGATGCCATCACAAAAAATAAGGTTCGTGATCTCGCATATCTCAATACTAGTTAGATTTTAGGGATAATAACATATAGCACTTGCAACGTTATTATTTCCATTTCCAAAACTTGCACCAAGTGATTTTTTTAAACAACCCAACCAATGTATTTAAGCATGCCACGATCAAACCATCAGGAATTTGATAAAAATGAAAATATGTGTTGAGGTTTTATTGTGAATTTTGATATTTGAGTACGAATTTGAAAATAGATGAAATAGAGTGCTAGTCTTGTAAATAGCAATGTTTTGGGTGCTATATATATGCAAATGCACCCCTCGCTCTCCACCCCACCCCGCCTCCAACAGTTTTAATTTGTCAAAATTTTCAGAGTAAGATTATTTTTGTTTAACTCTAATGATGTATCATTTTCCTTTGTTTAGGAACATGCCCTATCCCATAGTTTTGTAAACGTTGTTTTTTATATGGAGGATTTGAACCTAGCACTTGAAAGGGTCTGTTGTCCTTCCATTGAAGATGCCTGTATTTTATATTTTCTTTCAAATAAACATAAAATTTTGTGGATTCGATTCATGTGACTCGGAGCGGGACGCGCTCCCACGAGCGAACATAATGCGGGAAGTTCCATGCCGGAAGTGGCTTCTGATTCTTACCTGGACCAAACTAGTCCAAATTTTTTTCGATGCCGTGGAGTTGGCCGGTACACTTGAGCTTGTTATCCTATTATTATATATTTGCTTTTCTGATATTTTTAGGTTTTGGTTTTGCTTGAATTTTTGAGATTGCCAATGACGTCTTCATTTCCCTTCGAAGGCTATATCTGAGGGTTTGAGTGGTGCTCTGGTTGTATCTCCCTCCCAAGCTGATGATTACCTTCCTTACATTCTTCCGCATCTTCTCCATGACGCTCCTTGGCCCCCTCATTGCTGCAGCCGCCCCCAAACAACACTCGTTTGTTGTTTTTCTCTGCAGTTTTCCAACCAACCCTTCATGCTTGCTGCCACCACCCCAGACAGCCACCCCTTGCTGTCCTGCATTCCCCCACCTCACCTCCTTCGCTGCTGTCATCTTACTCCACTGCTGCAGCCGCCTGGGACAGCAATCTTTGCTGTTAATCATGCAATCCAACCGCCCGCCTCCTGCTTTCATCAATCCAGCTTGCTGACTCTTGTCTGTAGCCCCTTTCCCCTCTCTGCAGTCATCCGGAAACTGAAAACCTGTTATTTTTCTGCCGTCCTGTAGCTGTTCTAGGCTTTCCCACCGCACCTCACAGCATTGCTTGCCACTCCACTTGCTGTTGTTGCTGTCCCAGTGTCCCTCAACTGATAGTTCCGTTGCCACCATTTCCCCCTAGTCCCACAACTTCCTATCTTGCAGCTACCTTTTCAAGCCCTAACGTCAACCACCACCACTCGAGATCAACCCCAGCAGCATGTCACTTGTTGTGATGTTGTTATTTCCCATTTCAGTGCATGTTTGGTTATACCACCTATTTGGTATTTTTAGTAATCATATTTACTTTATCTATTATTGTTTGGATTAACTGTGGTACCAACATATCTTACAAACTTTCTTGGAAGATTGTTTAGTTTTCGTTTATTCCTTCCACCTGTTCAAATCTTTTTTGGTGGCCTCTTGGGTCATATTTTTGAAATCAGCAGCTTAATTGGCTAAACTTTTGTCGAGTACACTGCAACTTTATATATTATAGAACATGGCCAACTATTTGTTTCTTTCCTAATATGCAGTGACATATTTTGCACTTTAGTTAAAGAATTTTTTTCATGGATAATTATTTTTCATGTAACTCGGAGCGGGACACGCTCCCACGAGCGAACATAATGTGGGAAGTTCCACGCCGGAAGTGGCTTCTGATTCGTACTTGGACTTACTTGGACTGAACTAGTCCAAGTTTTTTTCGATGCCCTGGAGTTGGCCGGTCCACTTGAGCTTGTTATCTTATTGTTATATATTTGTTTCTTTGATATTTTTAGGTTTAGGTTTTGCATGAATTTTCTAGATTGCCAACGGCGTCTTCATTTTCCCTTCGAAGGCTATATCTGAGGGTTTGAGTGGTGCTCTGGTTGTATCTCCCTCCCAAGCTGGTGATTACCTTCCCTACCCTCTTCCGCATCTTCTCCATGACGTTCCTTGGCGCCCTCATTGCTGCAGCCGCCCCCAAACAACACTCGTTTGTTGTTTTTCTCTGCAGTTTTCCAACCAACCCTTCATACTTGCTGCCACCACCCCAGACAGCCACCCCTTGCTCCTCACCTCCTTCGCTGTTGTCATCTTACTCCACTGCTGCAGCCGCCTGGGACAGCAATCTTTGCTGTTAATCATGCAATCCAACCGCCCGCCTCCTGCTTTCATCAATCCAGCTTGCTGACTCTTGTCTGTAGCCCCTTTCCCCTCTCTGCAGTCATCCGGAAACTGAAAACCTGTTATTTTTCTGCTGTCCTGTAGCTGTTCCAGGCTTTCCCACCGCACCTCACACTCCACTTGCTGTTGTTGCTGTCCCAGTGTCCCCCAACTGATAGTTCCGTTGCCACCATTTCCCCTCAGTCCCACAACTTCCCTATCTTGCCGCTACCTTTTCAAGCCCTAACGTCAACCACCACCACACGAGATCAACCCCAGCAGCATGTCACTTGTTGTGATGTTGTTATTTCCCATTTCAGTGCATGTTTGGTTATACCACCTATTTGGTATTTTTAGTAATCATATTTACTTTATCTATTATTGTTTGGATTAACTGTGGTACCAACATATCTTACAAACTTTCTTGGAAGATTGTTTAGTTTTCGTTTATTCCTTCCACCTGTTCAAATCTTTTTTGGTGGGGTGGCCTCTTGTGTCATATATTTGAAATCAGCAGGTTAATTGGCTAAACTTTTGTTGAGTACGCTGTAACTTTATATACTATAGAACATGGCCAACTATTTGTTTCTTTCCCAATATGCAGTGACATATTTTGCACTTCAGTTAAAGAATTTTTTTCATGGATAATTATTTTTC